CACATCTGTCCCCCTACAGAGGAGGCCCACCTCGGGCGGACCAAGAGAGCACCAGAGAGAGCGCGCGCGTGTGTTGTGCTTTTGTTTTTATCATTCGGCATTACTGCGCCTCAGGTGGCAATGGGCCGATAAGAGACGGACAGACGGACTCCCCGCTGAGCGCGAATGCGCATCCGGACGCTTATTTTGTACACAGTCGAGAATTGAGCCGTGCTGCGTCCGGATAGTGTGTGTGTGTGTGTGAGTGCAAATCTCTGTTGTTTTCGGTAGCGCGTTGAATGAAAAGCAAAGTAGATTTGTACTTCAGGGTTTTCTTTTAATTCATAAAATATGACAAACATCAACATCACATTGGTGAGGAGCCGGTTGCTCATCAAGAAACAAAAGATTGGACGAATTGAATTTTTTTTTTTTTAATCAAGTTCGGTCCGAACGGAAAAGATTACGACGCTCGTCGGTCAGTTTGACCCGTGTCCAGGATATGTATAAAGTACAGCACCAACCTCCTTTACTTAAAACAAAATACATTTGGACTCTTCACTTGATCACAAGCACAACACTAGAGACATTTACAAAAAAAAATAGAATCATCAAGTATATACAAGAAAAAATATATCGATTCGCATTTAAAAAATAAATAACATCTATTTTGTACAGGAATCTGTGCAGGTTCGCTGCCACACAAGCCCGGCAGCAGCAGATTCAGATAACAGACATCTTAGATACCGGAGGTGCATTGGCTGACCTAGAGCACGCCGACCAGAAATCGTCCGGGCAGCGTTTGTGCTCGTACTACACGGACTTCTCGTCCAATCGACACGACATGGCACGGGTTGTTCACTTTACTGCACGCGCTGCGGCGAGCGCCCAAAGCGCGTCTCTAAATTGGGTCGAGCAACGGCATTAATTAATAAAAGGGCGGCAAGTTCAAACTTTCACCCTCCCGGCAGGGAGAAATACCCGACAAGGCATTGCAACAAGGAGAAAAGGAGGGGCTTCCGAGCGGCTGACTATAAGAGATATCTGACTCTGCTTCCTTCAAAATGGCGATGCGAACACGGGTCAGTCGCACAGCGTTTACATTGAAAAAAACCCACGAAAAAGAGTTCGGAAAAGTACACGTCAATTTGTAAACCGAGATGTTCGCGGGACTTTATTCCGTAGAGAATGCGGAACAAACCTTGGAGGTCCGTAAATCCGTAAGTGTAAATGTCCGACTGAGTTCTCCAAAGATAAGTGCGATCAATGAGAGCTATAACAATTATTCTCTAGTCCCTATTTAAAGAATAATTTAAGAAAATACGCAAAAACCGTCTGAGGATTTTGCACAGCACAGCAAACCCGTTCTTTCTTTACGTTTGTAACTTTATCACGATTTCTTACAACAATAATAGTTTTTTGGCGTAAGTTTAAGTAAATTTACTTAAAATCACGTTCATGTAGTCATGAATAATATTACCCTTAATTGACTGGCATGGACGAAATCATAACACACTACAGGTGGGGTTCGCAGCTTTGGCAGCACAATCCCCGATAGGAACAACGTGGACCCGGGACGCTGGCCACCGGGGGGATCCATGACAAATCCACAATTCCATTAACAATACAAAAAGAAAACAAGTCCGGATTAACCTAAAAAAAAATCAGACCTAAATCACTTATCCCCACACGGAACGCAAAGTCACTATCTTTCCCGCACCTCACTCCTCGGATCACATGGTCATGTGCCTCTTCATGTGGAGGGAGAGGTGGTCCGACCTGGAGAAGGAGCGGTCGCACAGCCGGCACTGGAAGGGCCGGTCGCCGGTGTGCTTGCGGTAGTGCCGGGTCAGCTCGTCGGAGCGCGCGAACTTCCAGCCGCAGCCCTTCCAGCCGCACTGGTAGGGCTTCTCGCCCGTGTGCGTGCGGAGGTGCGCCTTGAGGTGCGACGACTTGGTGTACGTCTTGCCGCAGCCCGGCTGCCCGCACGTGTGCACGATCACTTTCCGCCGCGACCAGTTCCGCCGCCGGCGCGGCTTGGCCGGCGTGGACCCGGACCCGGTCGACGGCGCGGTGGTCGCCGACGAGGACCCCGCGGGCGGCGGCGGCCCCGGCGGCCCCGGGGGCGGGCCGGGCGGCGGCGGCAGCGGCAGGTGCCGCGGGTGCAGCGGGTAGCTGGGTGGCTGGTGCGACAGGTGCTGCAGGTGAGGCAGCTGGCTGCCCGTCAGGTGCGGCGACGACGGCGGCGTCAGGATCTTGAAGTGCGACTTGTGGTGACCGTGCGCGTGAGGCGGCGGCGGCTGCGGCTGGACGTGCCGCGGGAACGGGTGGAAGGGCCCCGGGTGCGGCTCGCCCTGGTGGTGGTTGTGGTGGTTGTGGTGGTGGTGCGGCAGGTGGTAGAAGCCGCCCAGGTTGTCCGGGGTGCCCGGCGGCGAGATGTGCCCCAGCGGGATGCCGGCGCCCATGGGCGGGCCCTGCTGGCCCTGGTGGTGGTGGAACTGCTGGTACGGGTAGGCGGGCACGGGCTGCCGCGGCAGGAACTGCAGCTGCGGCTCGCCGCCGTGGTACGTCGGCTCGCTCTTGACGGACGTGGACACCGTCGACGCGGTGGTCGCCGAGCTCGCCACCGAGCACGCCTGCGACGTGACGGCGGCCGCGCCGCCCAGGTACAGCGACGGCGGCTCGGGCTTCACCAGCATGCCGCCGAACTCGTCCTCCGCCGCGGGCACGGGCGTGGTGGACGACGGCGAGAGGTAGAACGGCGAGGGCGAGACGACGGGCACCTGCTGGTCGCCGGGGCCGGGACCCGGGGGCCCGCCGGGGCCCGGGCCCTTGTTCACGCCGAGGTCGCTGTAGTACACGGACTCGTTCGGGGACGACGACGTCGGCGGGAAGGCGTCCCCCTTGCCGTCCCCCGAGGACGACGACGACGGCGCGGCCGTCGGCCCGCTCGGCCCGGACGGCTCGCGAGGGACGTCGCCGTTCTGGGCCGCGGCGCCAACAGACACGGCCGCCGCCGGCGCCCCGGGCACGCCCACGCCCAGGATCACCGTCTCGATGTCCTGCCACATCTGAAACAAACAAGGGGCACGAAGAACGTCAGGCCAAAGGATACTTCACTTTAAAAAGAGTACCTAAAAAATCAGGTAAAACATCATAAAAATCAGTAAAAAATTCAGAAAAATCAGATTTTAAAATATTCAGAAAAAATGAAAAATCGCACCCAGAGAAATGTTTGCAAGGATCGAGCCTCTGATGCTTGGATCCCGCATAGGTTATGCTCGTTTTTCCGGCAAGCATA